AGTTTGCTTAATGGCGGCTTGATCTTCCCGAGAGTCATTGGTTGAAACTCCTTCAGAAAATTAAAATAGAATGTTCTTGATAAAACATACATCAAACGTTAAAAAAATGTGCAATAGAATGTACAGAGAAAACTCAATCATTATAAGACTCCCAGAGAGCTTTGAATTTTAAAATCTCAAAATCAACAGAAGGATTCATATTCACATAAGATATCATTAACGTACCATTTGCAAGATCTAACAGGTAATCTGAAGGATTCATAGCAACAGAGGGACGAAACCCGATACTCGAGAAGTAATCCATAGCTTCCAAGCCCTTCCCAAAATACAAAGGATTGCCTTCAGACAGCAATAGGACCTTATGAAACATATAAAAAAGCCTACTCGATGGCTGGTGAATTGTCATAACTATCGTTCTACCTCCATTAGCCAATTCCCACAATGTGTGGACAATCCTTTGAGCTGTTGTCGAATCAAGGCCTGATGTGGGTTCGTCAAGAAACAATAAACTTGGATTAATAAGCATTTCTTGCCCAATACTAACACGTTTTCGCTCACCCCCAGAGACTCCTCTCAGAAGCGGACCGCCTATTATGCTGTCCCTGCATCTCGATAATCCAAGCTGAGATATCACAGCTTCGGCATGATTGACCTTTTCCTTTCCGCTTATACTATTAGGCAATCTTAAAAGTGCAGTATACACGAGTGTTTCTGTCACGGTGAGATGAGGATATAGGATATCATCTTGTGTAACAAAGCCCGTATTTCGCTTCATCGCGTTCGAAAATGGCTTTCCACTGTATGTTATGCTTCCACCGAGACGTCCACCTAGTCGACCTCCTAAGGCGGTCAGTAGAGTTGTTTTGCCGCTGCCTGATGGACCTAGCATGGCTAGCAATTCTCCGGGAAACACTATACCAGATATACCTTTCAAGATTAATTTCTCTTCTGTTTTCGAATTCTTCATACATCCTTCCTGTCTGATTTTAATCTTGTAAACAACATCCTCAAACTGCAAATGTAATAACAAATTCCTTTTGAGGATACTGAAGTTAAAATTCAAAAATACAAACATTAACAATACGAATACGATGAATGTTTTTTTGGACAATGCCCACAAGATTTTAACTTCTTTTTTTTTATACAATCGAATTATTCAGCAATCGTGTCTAAGATTATTAGGAATACTTTATATAGACACTTAAAGAAGAGCCATTCATTAAAGATCAAAAGAGCATTGTAAAGTTGAATGATTGAGATAAATAAAGTCAAAATACACGGGTTAAATTAGATTTTGTAAACAAAGATAAGGGCATACACGTGCAAAAGTTCTTTTGTTGAAATCAATCTTGGGATTAGGTAAAAAGTGAAGCCCTAGAAGGTTTTAGCTGGAAATCTAGTGTCCACTGATCCAATTTTCTTGGAGAAATTTCTCTGCCAAGAACTCTTAAGAATTATTTTCTACATTATTCAAGAACATTAGAAATATTTAAAATTATCATTTCATGACAATTTAAAACAATATTTTCATCTAAATTACATATATGATCATGGTTAATGACTGTTTGAATCTACAATTTACACGTCAATACTAAATAAAGAAGTAGTAAAGGATCAATTACTTTGACCACAGCAAAAATTAAATCAAAATTTCAGCAGAAATTCAAGAAAACTAATGCCCAACTCTATTGGGAAAAAAAAGTAAATTATTTTTTACCAAATTAATTAACAAAACCCTTTTTATGTTGCTGTATTTATTTTTTAATAGTGCATGCATACAATGTAATACAGCAAATAAATCAGAAAAAAAACCTTCAATGAAACTAGACGATTCGCTTTCTTGAAGATGCCCGGACTTTCTCTCTCCTTGACCGCCTGAGTTTGGGCTTCCATGTCCGCCATCTCGAGCTCCATTCTGCCACCAATCCGCCGCCGGTAAACTCCAACTCTAATTCTCCCTCAATCCCTGCAACCCCATAATCAAACAAATACCGACAAAACACACAGTTCGATGACTTAATTATAGGCAATTAATGAAAGTGGGTTTAAAGAAGACCAACACAAGTGTAAAAGTGCTTGTACAAATATCATGCAGGAGAGATGAATGGGAGTACCCGGGCGACATGGAGGAGATGATAACAAGATTTTGAGTTATTTTCGGCCGATTTTAATTGAGTAGTTACGAATTCATTCCCTCCTATCTTGGATTATGTTATACATTCATTTTATCTTTCTTATTTAAGTAATTTATTGTGCTGGAACTCGTTCTTGAATCTTGATCCTCTACATCTTAGTTGTTTGTGTAAGTGTTATGCTCTAGATCCAATCGATTTAGGTTGTAAACGCTTTTAATATATTTAATGCATTTGATTTTGACGAGATCTATTATTTATTTAAATTAATTTTGTGATAAATAATATTAAATAATAGAATCCGAAGATCCAATTTTTAGGTAATATGTTAATCACAAGGAGTTGTGATTGTGAGATACAAATTACATATAATTGGATCTTGAATAAACCATGGTCGTAAGTAATAACGAGATACGGATATCGTTAATATAGTTAGACCATCACGTGTGGCATTTCTTATTTGTGAAGTAAGTAGCTGATCTCACGAGCTAAAGTGTGGTGACACTTAAATGAACACGTGGATGTTTTGTTATAGAACAAAACATTGGAGACCCGTCGAGAGATTCCACATGGATAACTATCTGAGTGTCAGTGGCTAATTTCTAACGTTCGGTAGTGGAATTGGTCCTTTGACTTGAGGTCGTCATGGTGCCTTATATGAGGACAGTCATACTTTGGCGGTGTTAGATGTTGCTCTGAAAGGGGCCGCTAATACGACATCGTTCGGGTACGTCAAGAATCGTATGAAGGTTGTGATTGATCAATAAATGATTCGTCACTCTTAGATAGTAGGAGATTATGATCTGCGTTTCATTCAATTAAGTCGATGATGAAATCCTTGGCCAAGGTGCACTTATAAATCGAAAAGGAGTTTTCGATTTATATTGACTTAATAGTGGAGTGAAAGATATGATCAATGACCGAGATTGACACAATTTCATATCTCGTAATTGATCGGATCGTATTAACGAAGGATAATAGTTTCACGGTAAACAAACGAATTTGGCTTTGTCATACCACGTGACATTTCCCGTCACATGTATTGCCCTGACACATTGCTAGATATCAATCAGGGACAGCGAGTGTGAATTGACGATAAATTAAATGGGTGTATTAATTTATCAATTTTGATTAGATCAAAATAATATTTCACGACGTTAGGCATCGTGGTCGAGAACCTAATGGGTCGCACACAACAGAGAATTGAAAGATTGCAAATTGTCAATTGGTTAATTTAACAATCGTTGGATAAATTAATTAATTGAATTTGTTATTTATATTCCCGAATTAATTAATTCACGGATCAGGTTTAATTAATTGGATTAATTAAATATTGGACCGGACCGGGTCCATTTGGGTTTATATATATATACATAGTTAGGGTTTGAGGTCCATAAGGTTTTCATTATTCTTGCTGGCACAAGAGAGAAACCCTAGCAGTTGCAGTCTATTCTCTGTGTGGATTTCATTGGAGGCTGAACAATTGGACAGCTGTGGGAGGAAGATTCAAGCTGCTGGAAAGGAATAACGCGAAGGAGTTTGCAAATTACAAGAAAATGTATATTTCTTATCACAATTTTTATCTAAATACAAAGCTGAATCCTGAATGGGAATTGAAATTTGTTAAATTTCGCTGTGCATATTTAAGTAAATTTCCAACAGTGGTATTAGAACCAACTTTGTATTTGTTAGGAACTGTTTAACGTGTTGATTAAATTAAATGTTAGTTTAATCACGTTCATTCCTAAATCTAGCAAATATAGTTTTAATTTTTTTGGGTTTTTTTGGATCTGTTTTTGAAAAACAAAAAAATTTGGGTCGTGAGCAGGCGCTGCAACCTGCAGCGCGAGGGCACTGTTGGAGCAGTGCCATCGCGCTGCAAACCGGCAGCGCAAGGCGCTGCTCTTGTAGCGGTGCAGCGCCTCCGCGCTGCTGGTTATTTCCGGCGCCGCCCCAGAAAGAAATAAAAATATTTTTTTTTTTTTAGGTTTAGGGTTTTGGTGGAGACGGGGGCTTCTGTTGCAATTAATGCAATTACAAAAAAAGGGGTCATTTTGCAATTTTTAAATCAGAGACCTGTTCTGTAAATTTTGATTTTGGAAGGGTCTGCTGTTAATTTCAATTTGGGTAAATTTTGTAAAATTTCAAAAAAGGTTTTGATTTTGAATTTTGAATTATTTTAAAATGAATTTTAAATTGGGTTTGACCCATACCCTAATTTTGACCCAAAATTAAAAATTTATTTAAAAAAATTTTGACGGCTTTTATATTTTTGTTAAAATTAGATTTTAACTTAAATATTTAGTTTGACCCTTAATTGAATTTTATTATGTTTGGAAATTTTGTCCTAAATTAAAATATTAATTCAATTTTATTAGAGTTTGACTCTAATATTAAATTAATTAAATTTTGTTTTGAATTAGCACCACTTCCCTATGCAAATTAGTACTTAGAGTATGACTCTAATTTAATAATTAATTAAAATTCGATTTTGATTAAATTACTTCACCCAATAGTTATGGATTTAGAGTTGGACTCTAATTCGATATTTAGTTAAAATTAGATTTTAATTAAATTGGCCCGTCAATTAAATTAATTAATTAATATGATTAATTAATTGTTTAATTATCTCGATCCCAAAATTTTGATTTAATTTTGACGACTATAATTGTTAGATTTATGAGACATTGCATATAATATTAGATATTATACATAGGAAACATTTATGTGATGAATGTTTGTGGATGATTATAGACTCGACCATATGAATGTGTTGAATGGTTGATTTACTTCTTATTGTTGTTGTGGGCCTGTGAGCTCCTTATTAAATATTGGACCTGTGAGTCCGTTATTATTATTATTATTATTATGGGCCTACGAGTCCGATTTCTTTTAGGCCTGCGTGCCAACTAGTATAGGATACATATTGCAAGTTCGGCTAATTGGAGGTGCAAGAAGAGGTGGACACCATGGAGATGGTGTATTGGTATTGGTCCAATACTGTACCCCCTAGGAATTGACCAACTAGTTTTCCTTTTGGCTCGAGAAAACTAGATAGAACAAGTCCATAATCATCCATACTATTACTTATATATATATATAAAAATATATATATGTATTTATTTGCATAGTAGATGTATGTTTGAATATATGTATATATATATATTTGCTTGATGAGACCATTGCATATTAAATCCCTCGTTAAAAATTATTAAGTTAGTATTATTTGCCTTCCATCATTATAGTGAAAAACGAGAATCCTAAATCGACCTTAACTTGTTGAGTACATTCAAAGTTGGTCTATTAGGGATATGTTTGACATTATGAAATATTTGATATTTCTGAATGATGGGTTTAACTTAACTACAATTTATTTTTTATTGAGTACACTCAAGGAGATAAGTTTTAGAGGCATATTAAGCTAACACATAAGTTGTGTGAAGACAAAAGAGTTGTCAGCTTAATGATCTGGGAGTTATATGGAGATACAATTGATAATAATATCTACCCAAATGTTTTATTAGGATTTGTTGAGTACACTCAAGATCTCGATACAACGAATGGGATCCCAGCCCACTGTGAATCAAGTGTGGATTCAAATAATTTATGTATGAGGGTCATGAATTTATTTTAGACAGTGGGAGCACGTTTAATTAAAGTCCATATTGAATTTATGCACATGCATTATAATACATATTAATTCTATTTTTTTCGTCATTTACAATTTTTGAATCATGAGTAATCATATGAATTTGAGAGGCATACTGGATGCCAACAAACTGACCGGACCAAATTTTTGAATCATGAGTAATCATGCTTGTACAAATATCATGCAGGAGAGATGAATGGGAGTACCCGGGCGACATGGAGGAGATGATAACAAGATTTTGAGTTATTTTCGGCCGATTTTAATTGAGTAGTTACGAATTCATTCCCTCCTATCTTGGATTATGTTATACATTCATTTTATCTTTCTTATTTAAGTGATTTATTGTGCTGGGACTCGTTCTTGAATCTTGATCCTCTACATCTCAGTTGTTTGAACTTTCGATTTTCTGCTGGACACTTTTGCCTCACCCGTGTTATATCTTTGGTACGTGTCTTCGACACATGCAAAATCTTTCCTGTTTCAGACTGTTTGGGAACCTTCATAGTTTGACAAAACTGTAAAAACATTAATTACCAACAAAATAGAGTCAAAACCCAATGGTGAATTTGATGAGAATTATGCTAAACTTAGATAATATTTTAATCTTTCTACAATATTTTAAAAGGGATGATTGTGGAGAAACTTTTTAATACTAATTTTAACCTTATATATTCAGATATAGGTAAACACCTATTTATTTTATTTAATACTCTGACATTTTTCTAAGCATCATTTGTTTTTTAATTATTCACTTTCACGGGATTATTAGAACAAGGGTGCATATCTACAATGATACAATATCTAATCGGATCGAATCGAATCGAATCGAAATAAATCAAATATGTTTACTTTGATTTTAGGCAAATCAAAGTAAGTGAATAAGCTCTGCCTTGGCGACCATTTTTTTGGGGAAAAAAGTATTTTAAATTGTGATTTTTTGGAAAATGTGTGGTTAAAAAGTAGGAATTTTTTTTGATAATACATGTAGAATATTTTATTATGTGAATGTGATTAAAAATGAGTATATAGAAAAAAGAGTTTTGAAAAATGGAAGACAAATGGGACTTAAATGTGTCACCACTTTCAACAAATTAAATGAGATACTTTTTATATTTACTGATTTTTGATATATATGGGTCCGTTCGATAGTGATTTTGAGAATTGATTTTTTGACCATTACGAAGAAAAAAAGTACGGACCACCTATGAGTGAAGAGGTAAAAAATGACGACTGAAATAATAAAATAACGATCAAAAAATCAAAATTTTGAGGTGAAAAATCAATCCCAAACGGAGCCATACA